ATATAGCTTGACAGATTCCAAAGTACCGTTATTATATAGAGCATTAACAAGTTTACACTAACGTAAAAACGCCATTACATACCGTATATAGCATTACAGATTCCAAAGTACCGTTATTATTAGAGCACTAACAAGCTTACGCTAATGTAAAAACACCATTACATACCGTATATAGCATGACAGATTCCAAAGTACCGTTACTATATGGGACATTAACAAGCTTACACTAATGTAAAAACACCATTACATACCGTATATAGCTTGACAGATTCCAAAGTACCGTTATTATATAGAGCACTAACAAGCTTACGCTAATGTAAAAACACCATTACATACCGTATATAGCATGACAGATTCCAAAGTACCGTTATTATATAGAGCATTAACAAGCTTACACTAATGTAAAAACACCATAACATACCGGATATAGCATGACAGATTCCAAAGTACCGTTATTATATAGAGCATTAACAAGCTTACACTAATGTAAAAACACCATTACACACCGGATATAGCATGACGGGTTTCAACGTACCGTTATTTTTTTCTTCTGAAGTAATATGACAAGTCCATATAAAAACAAACCCAAAAAAACTAGTTTCACTGTATATTGGTAGGTACAGCGTATAGGTTATACAGATGAATTCGTTACCCCGTTGGTTGAGTGAATCCATAGATTTATGGGTTATTGTCTCATGAATACTGGGTTGAGTTTTATTATTAAAAACTATTAACTTCTCTGAGAACTCTGGTAGTACCAACAAGGTGGATTTTACGTTGTGAATGTCAATCAAATAGCTTAATATCCCTTGGTTAACTCAATATGCATCATCGGTGATATAACTGTTTTTAATTAACAATTCATATAGACTATACATTAAACCATATATTAACTGTGCAACTTGGGTTAACAATTCATATAGACTGTACATTAAACTGTATATTAACTGTGCAACTTGGGTTAACAATTCATATAGACTGTACATTAAACTGTATATAAGTGTGCAACTTGGGTTAACAATTCATATAGACTGTACATTAAACTGTATATTAAGTGTGCAACTTGGGTTAACAATTCATATAGACTGTACATTAAACTATATATTAAGTGTGCAACTTGGGTTAACAATTCATATAGACTGTACATTAAACTATATATTAAGTGTGCAACTTGGGTTAACAATTCATATAGACTGTACATTAAACTGTATTATAAGTGTGCAACTTGGGATTAAATACAAGTGTATAATAAAGATTACCTTTATCATAAAGATAAAGCAACATTAGTGTGGGAATTGAGAAACAATAGTAAAAACAGTTTCAAAAAATAGAATACTTTTTACATAGAACTCAGTGTAAAGTTTCCATAAGTCCCGAAAGCATTAATCAAAACCACAAAATCCAAAACTTTCAGAGTAATCGTTTATAATAATAATAATAATACAAGTTGCAACTCGTCTCAAGGGTTCTCAATACCGACAACTATGAAAACAACTATCATTTGGTATTGTATTAATGTAATTTATTAGGCACGTAAGTTTAGAGAAGAGCAAACACCAGGGCCATATTTGCTTTTTGTGAATTATGAATACTAGGGTCCAACTTTGATTTGTAGTCGAACCTAAAGTTTTGGTATTGGGTTTACTCCCCTATATAAAAACTATATAGGGAACAGGTTTGCTTGTTATTCAAGTCTGAAAGCTTGCTTCCTAGTGAAGCCTAAATGCTAGGACTAGGTTGATTTGCTTGTCAAGCGTAAAAGCTAGTTAGGTTACACCCAGTTACTAGGACTAGACTTGTATGTTATCAACTAGAAATATCTGATGATCCAGGCTGACTATTTATTTAAGCCTAAATGGTAATGCACGTCTCTTTTTCAAGTGAAGTTGAAATTTTAAGTGTAGGTTTATTTGTAAGTGAACCATAAATAATAAGGATAAGTTCAATTTTAACCTTATGTAAGCGATAGTTAAGATATACCTGATTTAAACGTTAACAACATTGTATAGTTATCACTCTTGTAAGATTCAAATATTGAATAAAGTAAAACATGGAAAGCATTGTTTCATAACTGTAGTTAGTTAAAATCGTAAATAATATTCAACGTTAAACTGGTACAC